ACCCCTCCAACTGAGTAAGAGAGAGTTACACACCCCCCCAACTGAGTAAGAGAGAGTTACACACCCCCCCAACTGAGTAAGAGAGAGTTACACACCCCTCCAACTGAGTAAGAGAGAGTTACACACCCCCCCAACTGAGTAAGAGAGAGTTACACACCCCCCCAACTGAGTAAGAGAGTTACACACCCCCCCGACTGAGTAAGAGAGAGTTACACCCCCCTCAACTGAGTAAGAGAGAGTTACACCCCCCTCAACTGAGTAAGAGAGAGTTACACACCCCCCCAACTGAGTAAGAGAGAGTTACACACCCCCCCAACTGAGTAAGAGAGAGTTACACACCCCCCCAACTGAGTAAGAGAGAGTTACACCCCCCTCAACTGAGTAAGAGAGAGTTACACACCCCCCCAACTGAGTAAGAGAGAGTTACACCCCCTCAACTGAGTAAGAGAGAGTTACACACCCCCCAACTGAGTAAGAGAGAGTTACACCCCCCTCAACTGAGTAAGAGAGAGTTACACACCCCCCGACTGAGTAAGAGAGAGTTACACCCCCCTCAACTGAGTAAGAGAGAGTTACACCCCCCTCAACTGAGTAAGAGAGAGTTACACACCCCCCGACTGAGTAAGAGAGAGTTACACCCCCCCCAACTGAGTAAGAGAGAGTTACACCCCCCTCAACTGAGTAAGAGAGAGTTACACACCCCCCCAACTGAGTAAGAGAGAGTTACACCCCCCCAACTGAGTAAGAGAGAGTTACACCCCCCCAACTGAGTAAGAGAGAGTTACACACCCCCCCAACTGAGTAAGAGAGAGTTACACACCCCCCCAACTGAGTAAGAGAGATTTACACACCCCCCCAACTGAGTAAGAGAGAGTTACACCCCCCCAACTGAGTAAGAGAGAGTTACACACCCTCCCAACTGAGTAAGAGAGAGTTACACACCCTCCCAACTGAGTAAGAGAGAGTTACACACCCCTCCAACTGAGTAAGAGAGAGTTACACCCCCCCAACTGAGTAAGAGAGAGTTACACACCCTCCCAACTGAGTAAGAGAGAGTTACACACCCTCCCAACTGAGTAAGAGAGAGTTACACACCCTCCCAACTGAGTAAGAGAGAGTTACACCCCCCCAACTGAGTAAGAGAGAGTTACACCCCCCTCAACTGAGTAAGAGAGAGTTACACACCCCCCAACTGAGTAAGAGAGAGTTACACACCCCCCAACTGAGTAAGAGAGAGTTACACCCCCCCAACTGAGTAAGAGAGAGTTACACACCCCCCCAACTGAGTAAGAGAGAGTTACACACCCCCCCAACTGAGTAAGAGAGAGTTACACACCCCCCCAACTAAGTAAGAGAGAGTTACACACCCCCCCAACTGAGTAAGAGAGAGTTACACACCCCCCCAACTGAGTAAGAGAGAGTTACACACCCCCCCAACTAAGTAAGAGAGAGTTACACACCCCCCCAACTGAGTAAGAGAGAGTTACACACCCCCCCAACTGAGTAAGAGAGAGTTACACACCCCCCCAACTGAGTAAGAGAGAGTTACACACCCCTCCAACTGAGTAAGAGAGAGTTACACACCCCCCCAACTGAGTAAGAGAGAGTTACACACCCCCCCAACTGAGTAAGAGAGAGTTACACACCCCTCCAACTAAGTAAGAGAGAGTTACACACCCCCCCAACTGAGTAAGAGAGAGTTACACACCCCTCCAACTGAGTAAGAGAGAGTTACACACCCCCCCAACTGAGTAAGAGAGAGTTACACACCCCCCAACTGAGTAAGAGAGAGTTACACACCCCCCCAACTGAGTAAGAGAGAGTTACACACCCCCCAACTGAGTAAGAGAGAGTTACACACCCCCCAACTGAGTAAGAGAGAGTTACACACCCCCCCAACTGATTATCGCTGATTCCATTCCATTTTGTTCCAATCTATTCAAGTCAGTTCCATTTAATTATGTGCCATTTCCCTTCATTTCATTCCATCACGTTTCATTTCATTCTGTTGTTTCATTCCATTCCATTCCATTCTGTTCCATTCCGTTTCATTCCATTCCATTCTGTTCCGTTTCATTCCATTCTGTTCCATTTCATTCCATTCCGTTTCATTCCATTCCATTCTGTTCCATTTCATTCCATTCCATTCTGTTCCATTTCATTCCATTCCATTTCATTCCATTCCATTCTGTTCCATTTCATTCCATTCCATTCTGTTCCATTCCGTTTCATTCCATTCCATTCTGTTCCATTTCATTCCATTCCATTCTGTTCCATTTCATTCCATTCCATTTCATTCCATTCCATTCTGTTCCATTTCATTCCATTCCATTCTGTTCCATTCCGTTTCATTCCATTCCATTCTGTTCCGTTTCATTCCGTTCCATTCCATTTCATTCCATTCCATTCTGTTCCATTTCATTCCATTCTGTTCCATTCCATTTCATTCCATTCCATTCTGTTCCATTCCGTTTCATTCCATTCCATTCTGTTCCATTCCGTTTCATTCCATTCCATCTTTTCTCTCTTCCTCTGTTGTTTTTACTTCATATTGTGAAGCAATTTAAGCTGCATTTTAATGTATGAAAGACGCTATTTAAAGATTATTATTAGGTTTTTTCCATTATGCTTCATTCCATCTATTCCATGAAATGCATTCTATTCTATGTCCTCCATTCCGTTCCATTTCATTTTGTTCCACTCTATTAAAATCAAACTTCATTTATTCAATCAAAAAGTATTTATTTTTAATGAATTTTAAAAATTTTAAAGCATTTTACATTTACGGTGTTTGGCTGACGCTCTTATCCAGAGCGACTTACAGTTTGATCATTTAACACAGGTAGGTGAAGGCAGTGTTAGGAGTCTTGCCCAAGGACTCTTATTGGTATAGTGTAGGGTGGTTACCCAGGTGGGGACTGAACCCCAGTCTAAAGCATAGAAGGCAGAGGTGTTACTCACTACACTATACCAACCAAAGAAGCAGCAACATTAAGTAAGTGTGTCGGAATCAGCCGGTGTATTTTTAAAACAAACATCCCAAAAAGGGTTCTCCAGTGCGAAGTGACAGAAGACTTTTTAAAGAACCGTTCTCTAAAAACTCAAATGAAACTAGACCCCTTTCTGGCAGCGTCTCTCCGGAGGCTTATTGTAAACCGAACGCTGGTGTTAAAAGAACTGTGTTTCTGCAGCATCTCTAAATCTACAGCTCTCTGACAGTAA